TGCCAGTGACTTTGGGCATAGCACAGTTGTGCATAATGTGGTAGCTAAACACTTCCAAACACAGCATGGTAGATGAGCACATCCAGGTCATGCTTGTTGGTTCATGCTAAGCAATGCAAATGTTCTTGATCTCTAGATGGCTTGGATAGAGGAGACAGTATGTACCTCCTCAAGTAAATTTATGGGTGTATTCAGAAAAGAATTCTAGAGACCTGTGGAATTTGTGTGATCAAAGACTTATGACTCACCAGGAATGTAAAATGTTCCAGCTTTGGTCTCAGGAACCTTAAGTCTCAGTTTAGGCAGTTTTGTTTGTTTAGGTCTATTTGTTGCTGTAGCCTGGGTTGTACCCTTCACAGGCACACAGGAGTCAGGCTCATCCTTGCCACTTGGTGCCATTGATTTTAATTTCAGCATGCATCTTGTTGTATTTGGTAGTACTCTGAATGCCCCGATTCAATTTAGAAATGAAGGCATCTGTTTATTATGATTATGCAAAAGGTTGAAGTAGGCTGGCTCTTTTCTAAATATCGAGCAGAAGACAAGCAGAACTTCAGAAGAACACTATGTGTATCAATCTCAGGATTTTTGGGGGATGAGTGTTTTTTTTCTCTGCCATTTGGGATTAGAAATAGTTTGTCCAGGAAAATGATAATTTATTTTAATCCTTTAAAAGGCAGATGACAATATTTGTTATGCTTTCCTTATTTTTTAATCTGCTCTTTTTAGAAAGCAAAAGTACTTTGTTGAATCCAATAGCAGCACTTTTGATAAAGTGGGATTGTGGCTCCCCTCTTAATTCTGGTCAGTTTTTGGTTCCTGTAGGCCATATTCTGCACCTGTGTTGGAGTAGGCCCATACCCATGTGGTCACCTCTATCACTTTGTAATTTTACCTTCCATCACATTAACATTTATCGCTCTCTTTATAGCATTCCCTTCACTAAATCTACTAGAAAACCTACTAATGCTAATTACTTGCAAATAGTAATGGTAATTTTAATGACAACCTCAGTAAATTGCTTTTAATGTGCTGTAAGAAAATTGAAAACTAAGTGTCCATTTTGCTGTTTAATAAGAATCTTATAGAACAACTAATAGTCCCTGTGCTCCTTCGATCTATTGGGAGCAGAAATAACAAGCTCCCAATATCCATGGAATCCCTCCCTGTGCACCATGGGATGGGTTAACAGGAGTTGAGGAGACAGCCAAAGGCACAGTAGGTGAAGAAATGAAATAGAAATGGAGATGCAAGAGAGATGAAAGATTATGGTGAAGAGACAGTGAAAGAGGGCAAAGCATAAGGAAGATCAAACAGGGCAGAGGAAGCCCTATTAAAACTTTAGAAACACTTCTGGATAAAAGACTGGAGCGTTTGGCTGGCTTCTTTCAGTGGTCATGTGGGAGATTGAATCCAGGACTGCTGCAGCTGTAGAAATGTTGGGCCAGAGTGGGGAGATTCAGGAGTAACAAACACTGAAGCGGTTACACCTTATTCTGTAGGACCGCTTTTTCATCAGTAAAACATGTCACCTTGCCTGCACGTCTGCCATGTGCAGCAGAAGGGCTGTGAGCTGGTGATGAATGTGGAAATAAGTGAGACAGTGACTGCTGCCTCAGAGTTGTGCCTGGTGGGAGGGTGGGTTTAGGCATCCTAATGCTTTGCCTGTTGGGAGCTGCTGGTTTCCCACCGAAGCAGCAGCTCCTGGCTCTGGCAGTGTTCTGCCATGCCTCTGCCTGCACCCCCTCAGGGCAGCATCCACAGCTCACAGCTCCTGGAGGTGTCTGCTGGGAGGCAGCATCCTGGGGATTCCACATCAGCTCTCGTGGGCCCCCTGCCACAGATGGGAACCGGTGTCTTACACACAGCCAGGAGGCATCACTTACTACCTGCCTGGAAGTAACTTCCCTTGGAGTCTGCATTGATTTGGCAGGAGTGGAGAGCTGCAAGGTTTGGCAGAGATTTACAGAATTGGCCTGGGCAGAGCAGACTTGGAGACTTGGGAGAGGGCAAGTTCTGGGTTGGGAAATGATGGTGGGAAGAAATTGTTACTTGTCCCAGGCTGCTGCCCTGACTGCCCTCAATCCATATCCAAGTGCCCCAAGAGAGGGGGGGAACTGAAAAAGGATCTCCTTATACAAACGTTTCCCAAAGGATTCTGGCAGGAAAAGTAGCTCCGTTTGCTTTTAAAGTAGGCAGTACCTGTTAAGAGCCAAACTCCTGCCTGTCTTAATAATTTAAGCTTTGCAGAACAGAAGCTGGATGAAATTTTGACCTTATATATTACTGCTGCATAAGTAATCCTCAGAAACACTCCCAGTATTGTTAACTGTTTGTAGTTACCATGGGACTTAGGAATAGTTATATTGCACTTTCGCAATAAAAAGAAAGCGTGTTCTGGGTTGTTAATTTTGCGTTAAAACATGATTTAAAAGCTTAAGAGAAGGTGATTTTAATGAGTTGGTTTAGACAGTCTGTTTTAATTCAAATGCAGTTGATGCATCTCTCTTATATGTTGTAAGTTAGTCTTGGTTTTAAAAGGTGAAAATAATTTGTAAAATGTGCTGACATATATGCCAGAAACAATAGCTAGGGACACGTGTATCAAACAGGAAAGGCAAGTGGCATGTTACAGCCAGGGCTAGTTTAAAACACCAAAACCTCCAAAAAACTGGTCTGTGTTCAGAGTTGACATGTAGAGGAATGAGAGTCTTGGGCAGGTATAAATTGGATGACAGATACGAATATGCATAACTATCGTTTTTGAACACTTTGCAGCTAATTCAACTTTAATCCAAGATAACTTTCACTGCTGTTTGGCTGTCAGTGATTTGGCTTTTGTTCTGCCTTTTAAAGAAGATTGATTAACCTGTCCCTTTTGATTTTTGAGGTGCTCATACTCAGAGTGCTTTTTAATTCTGTAACAGCAGTACAGTAAGCTGGTGTCTGTTCAGTTTGCAGCATCCCATTCGGAGCTCTTCCACAGAATTTTGTTTTAAAGAGGGGAATTCAGCAGTTGACTCCCAGGCACAAATAACCATGTAATTACTGTGCAGTCACATTGTAATTAGCATGTACTATTCATATATTGCCTAATTATATGCCCTGCAGATTACATAGTAATTATATTTGTACTAAACATATAATTCTATATACTGTATTAAAAAAAACTTTGGAAGTTCATAGTTAAGATTATAGTTGTATGCTAATGTAGTACAATGTTTTCTATAAAAATGTTACAATTTTATGAGAGGGCTGTATTTTGGGTATCTCATCTCTTCTGCATGCAGTGTTGCTTAATCTGCTGTACGCTGCTATTATAAAAAATGCTTGGCTCTGTTAATTTATAGTCAAATGTTTCATGTTTACAATTCTATAATTTATGAACATGAGGACAAAGTTGCAGTTTATTGTGCAAGCAGCTGAGATTGGGAAGGACTAATGTTAAATGTTAAATGCACAAAGGTTAAATGTGCAAACCCCTGAACATAGTTACAGCACATTGCTGGAGCGAAACACAAATCTAATGCTACTTATGCTTTGTGTTATTTTTGGATAGGTGAGATGCCTGGGACATAGGTGATATATTTGTATAATGTGAAGTGTGTGGGAGCAGCCAAGGCCCATCTTGGGCACAGCATGTTCTAACAAATGCAGAACTCAGTGCAGCACAGCAACCAAGCTGCATCATCTTTTCCTGCCACGGAAAAAGAGAAATGGTTGATGTCCTGATCTGGAAATGGAAGGCAGAGTGGTAGGAGAATGGTGATGAGCGGAACTGAGTTGTAGAAGGACCTGAGACTAAGTTCCTGGGTAAAGGTGGAAGATTTAGGAAGAAAAAGCTTTAAGAGGAACTTAGAGCTTTAAAATGTTAGAGGTGTTTTATCTTTGGCCTGCCCCCCTAAGAAGTTGCAACAGATTTTAGATATTTGCAAAGTGTTTAGTTCAGCTTGCAAATTCTGTAGCAGTGGGAAGTTAATGTATTTTCTTGGATCTGTGATGTTGGCTTTCCTAATATCCAAAGCAGCATTATGGTTATTCTTAATTGAATTTTGCAATCTAATGCCAGTTGCCTTCATTTTCAAGCAAAGGATCTATTGGGTTATAATATCTGGGTAATGTATTGCAAAATTAAATGTGTAATTATAGCCTTAAATTATATCTGAGTTTAATTTTTCCAGTAACTTCTTGTAGTGTGTGCATGTGTGTGTGTGAGAAAGAGACATACTCCTTATTTTAAAATGTTTCTTTCAGAGTCACTTCTTCATTCTGTGTCAGCTTTTTCAAACCTTGTAAACTTCACAAATTCACCAGGGTTCGGGTGGCATCTGTAGATATTATAACAGTGGTTTTACCTAAGCACGGAGCTTGCAGGCCTTGTGGGGGGCTTTAGAGAGCTTCCAGTCGTGGGGCTGCACCTGATTTCCTTTCTCTCTGGGTGAGCTGTTCTCATACCTCGAAAACTGTAATAATGGGCACGTGGCTTTTACATTTTGCAGAGTACACAGATTACATTTAAATGCTGTTACCTGAGGTAGACACAGAATGTCATTTAACTTGTTCAAGGGAGAAATTAAAAATGTCAGAACTTTATAAAACCAGAGTTAGAAGCCCACCTTCTCACTGTGTTCTTGTGCAATGGGCCAAACGTATTCCTTCCAATTTACCATGGATTTTAACGACTGTTTAATGAGACCAAGTCTTACCCAATATTCATCCTGCGTGTCTGCCACGAGGAAGATGAAGCGCAGCCTGCCCGGAATATTTGTCATTTATTTACCAGCATTCTGACCTTAACGCATGCCTGTGCCCTTATTCACTTAAACCATTACCCTGAGAAGTATAAGGACCGGTTGCAGTTTCTGGTTGGCACTGAAAGTTTTGTATGTAAGGAATATATATGTGTGTTCAGGATCTCGTTAACTGTGAGATAACCGCAAACGTCGAAGCGCGGTATAAATGTGACGCGTCTCTCACTGCTCTTGTGTTGTTTTTTCTAGTGGAGCCAGTACTTTCAAAGGGGAACAATTGCTTGGATGCAGCAAAAGCTTGCAACCTAAATGATACCTGCAAGAGGTTCAGATCTGCTTACATAACCCCCTGCACCAGCAGCACGTCCAATGAAATCTGTAACAAGCGGAAGTGTCATAAGGCCCTCCGGCTATTTTTTGACAAAGTCCCCCCAAAGCACAGCTACGGGATGCTCTTCTGCTCCTGTCGAGACGTAGCCTGTACAGAGAGGAGACGGCAGACTATTGTTCCTGTGTGTTCATATGAGGACAGGGAGAAACCAAACTGCCTGAATTTACAAGAGTCCTGCAAGAAGAATTACATCTGCAGGTAAGACAGCACATGGCAGGGGAGTGATTAATGAGGTACCGCAGAGAACTTTCTAGTGCTGATGGATTTGCCAGGATTAAGGGTCACAGTATCCACTAAGAAAAAGGATGAGTCAAGGAAGAAAGCAAATGCCTCTGACATCCTTAACAGAGTAACAAAAGCCTGCATTTGCTTACAGTGTGTGCCTTCTCCAAAACTGTTCACAGCTACTCCCTCGCATTATGGAGGAGTCTTTAAACCCCCAGTTTAAATTTCACAGGTTTTTGTTGGAAACATATTCATTAGGTGTTTCTATGAAATGATGTCTCAGACTGATTTCTGTGTCCCGTTAATGACCAGGTAAAAATAGAATATTTCACTACAATGGAATTTATTTTCATTGTGCATTCGAGCACTAATAACTGGGAATACAAGCTTCATGTTGGACTTTATAAATGGTCACAATGCATAGACTACTCGTGGGTTTTTTCTTCATGGGAAAAGAAAGGAAGGTCCACATTTATAGGCAGAACTCCTGGAATCTTCATGGAGCTGTTTTAGACTTGAAATTGTTTTATCTCCTCTCCCCTGAGAAGTGTGATGGGCTGATGCAACTGGGGCTCATTGATTCACTGACCTAATTCCCAGCCTCTTTGCTCTCTGTGTTCAGGACAGAGAGGCAGTGCAGAGCACTCCTCCACTGGACAAACTGGGTCCTTTTGCCCTCATTGAGTCCCTGCAGGTTGTCACACAGCACTTATTCAGAGGCATACAGGACCTCCTCTGCTCTTAGGAAATGCTTTAGTCTTAGTACTGTGTATGTTTATATTAGAGAGTTGTTGTGCTAATGTCATATTTATGAAGTCATGCCCAAGAATCCTGCTCATTTGTAATGTGTAAATTTCTTGTAGATTATCCAATTCTGTGAATTTGCAAACAAGGAGATAAACACTATTGTAAAATGTCAAGGACACTGAAGATATGATATAAATCTTAATAAGCATTTACTTGTGCCTGGTAAAATATTTACTTTGAAGTTTGTTTATGAGATCTCTGCTTCTGGTCTTAAGCTTTTAGCTGTAGCACTTCAGATATGCCCGAGTGTTGTTCAGAGGTGAGGAGATGAGCAGCGCCCTGCCCTTGATGGCTACAGGGAAATCTGGAGGCAGTTTCCTGCTGACCACAATAAGAACAGATTTAAATCAGAGCAGTGTTCTCATTTCAGTCCAGCGACTCGCATTCAGCACCTTCGTAGCTGATGCTATTGCAGTTTATGAAAGCTGGATGCATGTAGCCTGGAACAATCCATTTTCCATTTCCATGTTGTGCCATTAATATGTTTGCTTATATATATTGCCTTCCCTATACACAGGCCCTGTTAATTAGTAGAGTTACAATATCTTTACTGTGTGTAAACTACCAGTGTGTTACAATGCTGGGGAAATTGGAGAGAGGATTTTACAGAGAGACATATCCCTGTTACTCAGGTTGTAGTGTTCAGGAATTAATTTGTTAAATTAATGCCATTACTTCTCTCATGACTGTGTTTTTCTTTTGTCGGCTTTGATCTAATGTTGTCTCAACAGCTGAGTTTTTAACGGCACTTTGTTTAATTTAACGAGTCTGGTGCACTTTCTCCATTGCAATGTTGCAGAAGAAAGCTTAGTAAAATCTCTACTGAAGTTGCAGCCAGCACTGGGATGAAAATGGACTTCTTCATAGGTTCCTCCTGTGGCTTTTGCTTTAAAATGCTGAAATTAAAAAGTTTGGGCTCTTCCAAGGCTCAGTGAGACCTGGCTGTGAGGGTGAGGGGCAGCGCTGGTACAAGGGTGGGCAGTGCCTGCAGGGTCTGGGGCAGTCAGTGTGTGCAGCCCTGGGGTCCTGTGGAGGGTAAAGCAAGCTTGGTGTGTTGCTGAGAGTCATCTCACATCGATGTTCCTGCCTCCTGGGCTGTCTAAACTGCTGGTGTATTTAATGCCTCCCCTCACTACTGTCATGGAGAGGAGGAATCGGCCCCAAAGCTGTTCCAGCCTATCCTTAATACAGTGAAAGACATTTTGTCTCTGTGACTTGTTGTGCACTGAAAGGGAATTGGTGTGATTTGTTCCCCTGGTCCCAGAGGAAAACAGGGACTTAGGCAGGGGAGGAAAGAGATGGGAGTTTATCTCCTTGCTGTTGAAAGTATTGGCACTGATAAATATCAGTCCTCCCTAGTAATTCCAGATGTGTTTAGAATAATTAAAAGGGGCAGTCAGTAGGTATGCAATTCTAAATCTGATAACTTGTATTTCACTGTGAAATCAGAGTATCTAAATGGCAGAGTAATTTGAAAATATGTTCTGTCTACTGTGAAACCAAGTAATTTATTAACTATTATTTGCATGCCTATTACACGTATTAAATCCTTCTCCTAATGCTGATTAACACAAGGGGTAAAAGTTCTAAAGGTTTTCTGGAAATACATTAGGAAATGTTTTATGAATGCTGCTTCCTAAGAAAGGCAAGATTTGAATCTGCCCATAATCTGTATAAAATATCAACTGGGCCTGTGCAAACAAGTATTCCATATTGGATGCTCTTTAGAAACCTTATCCTGGTGTAAATATTCACTGAATCTGTTCTTGGAACAGAGTTAAGAGCAGGGGCGATTTGGCCAAACCTGCCAGTACCACTAACAGAAATGGCAGGATGATTTGCTTATTTTTTTATTCATTAATCTATCTGTTACATAACATAAACTCTTAATAGAGGGAAAAACAGACCAGAAATGTCAGGAAATGCAAATAAGTTCTGACTTAAGTAAACAGTCCTAATTTTTCAGCTTCATCAGAATACTGAATGGTTCACTTTCATTATCATTTTTCTGCTGCCTCTGCTTGTATCCCAGTCCATATGCAGCTTTGAAACCAATCAGTCTCTCAGGCATGACTGTCAATGCTCACCGAAAAGAAAATCAAACAAATAAGAAAGAACAAAAAGAAGCCTTAGAGTTCTTTTTTGTTATGAACATAAACAAACCTTCTAAGGAAAAACAATATGCCATCAATAACTTACACCAGTGATGTCCTGGAATAGCACAGATCTCTGAGGAACCTCTTGATCTGATCACTTCAGCCAACAATTAAACTTTAGAAAGCTGATTGGCATGTTTTAAAAATGTTTAAATGCGGGGCAGGGTGCTTCATTTTTGCCCTAATCACATTTGACAGTGTTTCAAAAAATATTTTGCTTGAGCCACTAATTTGGTCTTTTCTCTTTTAATTTTGAATTTGTATACCTCCTCTCTTTTCTGGATATGTTCAGAAGGCACTGACCAGAATGATAATGATACAGACCCATTATTTATTGAAAGAACTGTATCAATCCAGTCATGTTCTGCAAAGATCAGAAAAGAAGGGCAGCATTTTTTATTAATAAAAGAAACTGGTAACAGCGTGTTTCTTGTCCTCCACAATTACTATATTCAAAGCGTCTGGTCAAATCATTGAGGCTTATTTTTGAAGCTGAAATAGCCAGAAAGTAGTTCTTAACTAGTTTCAGAAGGCAGTTGTTTGTTTTGTTTTGGGGTTTTTTGTTACTGTTTTTTGTTACTGTTGTTGTTGTTTTTCTAAAATAAATGCTATTCTTAATGTTTAGTTCTTCAAAGAGTAGGCATTACTGTCTTTGGCAGTTTGATACTGAAAAAAAAATAAAATGGCTGCATGATATCTTTAAGTATCTGCTAGTGGGATCTGAAGGATAATAATGAAATACTCTATTAGATTTTAGTCGACAAATCATCTACTTGAAAATACAGTGAAAGGTATTTTCAGCACTGTGTGTCCAGGGAGCTGATCAGTGTGATTTCACTGGTGTGTTCTTACTTCTTGACCAGTTTCTAGTCACCTGTCTGTTGCAACCACCCATTCAATTCTGTATGAAAGATAACTGCTTCTGCAAGTATCAGAATACTGTGTGAAGATATGCAGGCATTGTTGTCAGTGCATAGAAGAGTCCATCCACTGTAAAAGTTAGAACAAAACTCAACCCCCTGGACCCCTTGCTGTGTTTCCTGAAAATATAAGAAACTTGCCAAAAAAATAATTTTCCTTCATGATGTTCTGTTGAACGCTTCTAATGATAATTTACCTTTGGAAAGGGAGTCACTGTATCTGTGCTCCTTTTCCATAAGGCATGTACAAATCTGCACGTGCTTTATACCTGTAACCTGTTTGTGAAAGTGGCTTTTCTGTGTAAGACTTGTGGGCTGTTCCTGCAGCAGGTACCACTGCTGACTGCAAACCCTGCACCCTCGTGGTTCAACAAACGCTACAGACAAGTCTATGATGAGATGTTATAAATGTGCAGGCAACCTTTTTTGTCCTTCTGTAGGAGTGGGGGAGCCCAGCATCTTGTGTTAGGAGGACATCTTCAGCTAACAGCATTAACAAGCAGCAGGGAGGAGTGCACTAGAGGGATGTGTGGGAGGAGATGGAAGAGGGGAAGAATTATGCCCTTTTCTTCAAATTTTCTATTCCTTAGACTTACTTTCATTTTTTTCCCCGCTTTTTTCCCTTGCTTTTTTTTTCTCCTGCCTCTTCCCCTTGCCTAGTCTCCTTTCGTCTCCTCTTTCCAGATCTTCCAGCGATTATCTGACTTTCACCACCTCTCTGACACGTTTGAAATCTATTACGGTCACTTATGGTACCTCCTCACCTGCATCTCTGTATGTTGTGATTTTCCATCCCTCACTAGCCTGCCATGCTCTGGTGATCATCTGTAATTCAGCAAATGAGAGGGAGAACGTAGGTGCTGCCTCCCTTTCTGAGCCTCGTAGCTTATACTGCTGACAGTTCACTTGGCCAGCTCCAAAGCCTGAGCGCTCCCTCTCAGGCTGACTCTGGTTTTGTGTGTTAAGAGTACACTTGGTGGATATTTACATGAAGGACCCAGCGGTGTTAGCCAGTTCTGTATAACAGGGCTGGATTTGAGGCCCTCCAGGGTATTTATATCAGTTTGGCACTCGGAGCACTCTTGGCAGC